CACCATACTCAAGCAATGACTTCTTAATGCTGAGGATGCATACGACACGGCCAAATATAACAATCAAGGCTCTTTGACAATCACAGGGAAAAATAAAAGGTATTTCCAAAGTTTCTCTTGCTCAACGCTGCATTTTTCATCTCTTTAATACCTTCCGTCCTCCTAGGCTATCAGTGAATTGCTCTGATATATGACAGACTTTGTACGTCTCAAGAGAAGAAACAGACACAAAAATATATCCAAAACTGAGCCTTCTCTCCTAAACACCATACTTTAACCCTCTCGCACATGGTAAGTCTCAAATAAATTTCTGTGTGGTTTACCTAAACCCTAGTGGGATTCTTTCCTCAATGGTTGGGAGTCACTACCATGCATAAAATCACAAATAACTGCTAATCAGCAACTGAACTTTGAACCGACATGTCTCCTATTACTAATGAAAATAATGGCGCTAAATGGATGAAAACCTAATCCTTGCATCACGTGCACGAGAGGGTTAATGACTCCCCTCTAAGAAATCTAGCTACACCCTTGAAGATTAGCACAGCCAAATATCATCTGAGAAGCAGAATTATTCATAGACTATAAATTAGCATTAAAGTCTACCAAAATGTCATTCAGCCTCCTCTCATTGTTGAATTCTTTTACTTGCATCCTAAGCATATGTAGTACATTTATTTTTTTTAAATCACAATCAGTATATGCATCAGCCAGATATCAAAATATGCACCATACTCTTGTATGTATGCTATTGGGATATACCCATCAAGATGTATTATATCTACCTGGCAATTTGTCTCTCTCCCAATCATCATTCTGACTTTTTACTTTGTTTGTTTGTACCTCATCTAAGGGGCCTAAGACATAAGATGTGTGCCATACACACACACACACACACACACACACACACACACACACACACACACACTCACACTCACACACACACACACACACACACACACACACACACACACACACACACACACACACACACACACACACTCACACACTCACACACTCACACACTCACACACTCACACACTCACACACCCACATTCTCACACTCTCACACTCTCACACTCTCACACTCTCACACTCTCACACTCTCACACTCTCTCACATACACACGCACACCTCACTTTACGGTTTTGGAATAGATGATGTAAATCCTATTTCACCGGCAAAAAATACCACTACATAACTTTAAATAACATGTGAAATAGTTCTGGCCCAAGTAGCATCTCATTCTCATGGTCATAGGCTCTTGATGGTTGAAAGGATCTGGGTTTCGTATGTACAACTGCATAAACCCAGGCAGGCATTGAAAAATCACTAACCTCTATCTTTAAATACCAGTAAAAGAATTCAACAACTTTCAATTTACTAAAACCATTATCTTGACTACTACTTTAAGATATAAGGAATGTACTTTTAAAATGTATATCAGAAAATTTGGTTACTGAACCAATGTGACAACGAAAAATTTCAAAATCAATATTTTTGCATATACAATACGAATGCTAAGCATATCTTGAATCCATTATCTCCTTTCTGACAGCAGAGAAACCAAGTGCGTTTAAATACTTGGACAGCTGAATATGACCTACAAATACCACAAAAAAAGATGCCTTGCATTGTAAGAATATATGGCTCAACCATATTATTCATATATAAATTTCATTCAAGATAGAGAAAAACAATATTAACCCAATGACTACACATTTATGTATTGTCCCCTGTAGTTTTTTGTGAATTTAGTTACATACAGATAACTCTACATGTATTCGGCCACCAAGGAATTTATTAATAGACCCTAGTGACTGAACCTGTTGTTCCTTTCCTTGAATTTGCAAGAAAAATGTGTTTTTCTTTCTAATTCTATTAATATTGATATAATCATTATTCTTACTGATATTATGATTATCAAATTGTTATTAAAATATTAATAACATTAAAGACAATAAAAAATACAAATGAAAATTTCCAATATCAAGGAAGAGAGTAAACAGGTGAGATAAGTAGGACTAACAACCGACTCCTTGGCGACTAAGCACTTGTAGAGCCATCTATGTGTAAAGGTAATAGATGAACTTACACTACAGTGGGTATGGCATGTATTCTTGCGTCCATGCCCATTGGGTTAAAAACAAAGATATATCTCCATAAAAAAAAATCATAATGAATGCATGAAAGCTTAGAGTAAAACAGCAATTAGCTTCATGGGATATTTCCGGATACATTATGATCAAGCTATTGGAAACAAAATATAATACAAAACAAACAAACAAACAAACAAGAAAATCACAATTTTAGGAAAGAAGTCTTAAACCCTATATTGCACATAAGTAACTCTACAGCCTTGTTTCCCTTCACTAAATCACCTAGGAATATAAATGAGAATGTGCATATGCATTTACGAATTTTGATGCCAGAGTAAATACATTTAAGAAAAAGAATCTCCCTGTATATGGGTCTGTTTTACTGGGTAAGTATATTCGTGTACAGAAATACCTCTTTTCTTTCTAATTACACATTTTGGTCATACTGTCCCCAATGACTTTAGATATGTATCAATCAGAGAGCTCAGAAAAGAATAAATAAACTTTCACAATTATATTAAATATAAAAACATCATAAAACTCTAGAAGACCCCCTCACAAAGTAAAGCAATAACAAAAACTGAACTGACTTACAGTGCATGACCTCTGCTTATGCAATGTCAAACTGCACACTGATTAATGGCCATGTGTCTTATTATCATCATTTTCTTTGTCTTTCATTTTAAGCCTAAAAGCCAGATATTCACAAGAGGTATTCTCGCACACAAAATTCAACTTACACAGTATTCCGCAAATAAAACTGAAAAAAAAAATATATATATATATATACAAATAAATATACACACACACACCAAAAAGTGGCAAAAGCTAAAATATTTGGATCTGAAGAAAATAAAGATGACTTGAAACACAAATTTGCCAAACATTTTCTTTCAAAGAGAGAAAAAAAATATTCATGGCCATTGGAATGCTTTCATCAATAAAGAAAAATAATACTAGTAATTAAATAACCTTTTGTCATGCACAGGTTTTATGTCATGTAAAGTACTCTATCATTAAATCATGAACAATGTTTTTTCTGTTTACAGATTCCTCATGTTGCTTATGTATACTTTATTTAGCATTGCATTTCTGGTCCAATGCAAGCTAATCGGAAATCAGTAAAATGTTGAATTAAAAACATTGTTAAGCAGTATACATAAAACAGCTGTCAACATTCTTGAAAATATTTGCTATTTTCAATGGAAATGCACTTTATCACTTGAATATCAGTTTTCAACTGATAATCATGGAGATTCTACAGAGTATTTTAAGAATATAAGACTAATAAATTGAAGCTGTTAAGATTACTTTTCACTATAACTAGTTCTGAATGGAAATACAGCACTTATATTCATAAATGAAGGTCTTTTACAGTTCCCTGTTTCTGTATTATTTATAAATGAACACCTTTGGCAATAATATAAAAAAGGCTCACTAAGTTATCAACAAGGTTCTCATCACATCACGTTAACATTTTAGGCCCGGGAAAAACGTCCCTTGCCTTCCTCCACCTAGGCAGATCTGTCCCAGAACAATGACATACTAAGACCCATATAATTTCCCTCACATGTGCATGAGAACTGGGAGTAAGCTAGTGTAGAGACACTAGGCATTGCAAGTAACCTACCATTCTAAGATACCGAACTGCAGTGACCTAGGTCAGAAAACAACTGTGCATTTGGACTAGGTAGCTCCTGTGACATGGGATAATGGAGCTCTAGTAATCTAAACTGACACAGCTTGTGACCCAGGCTGAAGCAGTTCTAGTGACCTGGACTGACACAGCTCCAATGACCTGGGAAAAACACAGCTCTGGTGATTTGAGATTCCAGCTGACATGATGGGAACTTAACACTACATGATCCTTATGAAAATATACAAAATTTTACCATATAAAACTCATACTGTAATATAAATTAAGTCATACTTTTTTCTCATGTAACTACTCCCATGACCAAACAAGCATAAATCTTACGTTTACATACACTAGCAGCATTCACAAATATTCCAAAATTGTGTTTATGCTCTACAATGGGGCATATCTTAAATGGGATACAAGCTTTGTGATTTAGCATTCTCTACTTTAGTAATTTGGCATCTAATAACTGCATAAATTACATTATACATCACACAGATGAAATGCTTTTATGAATCCTTTATGAAACACACAAACCTTTGTCTCTTAGTGTATCATTTACAGGTTATTTGTGTTTTTGGCTGCTGAGTGCAATGCTTTAGATTCAAAACTGCATTGTTTGGAAGCCCTATCACGGGGACAGCTGTGCAAAAGAACTTCCATAACTTTCTCCCTGAATCAGGAAACACATCTACATGACAAAATCTTCACCTTATTTCTACTGATGAAAACCTGGAAAAGATTTACATACAGTAGTTCTTCAGAGATACTCTTCCCTACACCAGTGCTACAGCACTATGGGAGCTCACAGAGGGCGAGAGGAAACTTTCTTGCATGGGATCAAAGTGCCGCGAGAACTGGTAGGCTGGGTTCTCTATGATATGTGGCACCAGCTCGATTACTTCACAGTCATCCCCATCTGTTAGTGTTAAGAAAGAGGATACACTGATTAAGATGACGACATAGATAATATAAGCCACATTGCATAACTGCAAATTTTGATTGCTGAAGATCATTTTATGAATTAAATTTCTATTAGCATATCAGATCATATTTTCAACATATAATTATGAATGTTATATTTTCCTTCAATAAGTCTGCACTTAAAAATAAACAACTACAGTGATCATTCCTAACATACATTTACAAATATGAATATTCAGATATAAATACAGATACACAATACCATCTATCCTTCATCTTGCACAATTTTATAAACCTAGATAAAAAAAAAAAAACTAAGACCCATATAATTTCCCTCACATGTGCATGAGAACTGGGAGTAAGCTAGTGTAGAGACACTAGGCATTGCAAGTAACCTACCATTCTAAGATACCGAACTGCAGTGACCTAGGTCAGAAAACAACTGTGCATTTGGACTAGGTAGCTCCTGTGACATGGGATAATGGAGCTCTAGTAATCTAAACTGACACAGCTTGTGACCCAGGCTGAAGCAGTTCTAGTGACCTGGACTGACACAGCTCCAATGACCTGGGAAAAACACAGCTCTGGTGATTTGAGATTCCAGCTGACATGATGGGAACTTAACACTACATGATCCTTATGAAAATATACAAAATTTTACCATATAAAACTCATACTGTAATATAAATTAAGTCATACTTTTTTCTCATGTAACTACTCCCATGACCAAACAAGCATAAATCTTACGTTTACATACACTAGCAGCATTCACAAATATTCCAAAATTGTGTTTATGCTCTACAATGGGGCATATCTTAAATGGGATACAAGCTTTGTGATTTAGCATTCTCTACTTTAGTAATTTGGCATCTAATAACTGCATAAATTACATTATACATCACACAGATGAAATGCTTTTATGAATCCTTTATGAAACACACAAACCTTTGTCTCTTAGTGTATCATTTACAGGTTATTTGTGTTTTTGGCTGCTGAGTGCAATGCTTTAGATTCAAAACTGCATTGTTTGGAAGCCCTATCACGGGGACAGCTGTGCAAAAGAACTTCCATAACTTTCTCCCTGAATCAGGAAACACATCTACATGACAAAATCTTCACCTTATTTCTACTGATGAAAACCTGGAAAAGATTTACATACAGTAGTTCTTCAGAGATACTCTTCCCTACACCAGTGCTACAGCACTATGGGAGCTCACAGAGGGCGAGAGGAAACTTTCTTGCATGGGATCAAAGTGCCGCGAGAACTGGTAGGCTGGGTTCTCTATGATATGTGGCACCAGCTCGATTACTTCACAGTCATCCCCATCTGTTAGTGTTAAGAAAGAGGATACACTGATTAAGATGACGACATAGATAATATAAGCCACATTGCATAACTGCAAATTTTGATTGCTGGAAGATCATTTTATGAATTAAATTTCTATTAGCATATCAGATCATATTTTCAACATATAATTATGAATGTTATATTTTCCTTCAATAAGTCTGCACTTAAAAATAAACAACTACAGTGATCATTCCTAACATACATTTACAAATATGAATATTCAGATATAAATACAGATACACATAACATCTATCCTTCATCTTGCACAATTTTATAAACCTAGATAAAAAAAAAACCAACTAAATAACAAAGTATACAAGACAAATACAAACAAGCGAACTACACACCTGACTTTCCGATACGCCGCTGACGCCAGTAGGCAAAGAGCAGGAAGCCTACGAGAACATGGATCACGATCACTATCACCAGAACGGCTATGATCCAAACCACCGGGCTGAACTCCTCCACATCCAGCAACAACATGCTCTCCTGTTCTGTAATAACATTAGTACCCAGATGGTAAACCTTTAAAAAACATTAGAAACATTCCCTCGGCTGGAAGGAAACATGGAGGTGCTGTTCTATGAAGGCATGAAAACAGTGGGATAATATTTCTGTTGTCTGCTGGATACAATATGGACATTAATTTCTAGTTATTACAAAAAGCTTTCCTTATATCCCTTTTATCTTCCAGACACATTAAAAAGTAATTAATTTGAAAAAGCACATGTGTAAGTGATCTTTCTACATATTTCTGTTACACTAAATATTACTTTTTCTTGCTAAAAGAAAGTATTACACATACGTATCACACTTAGGGTTAGCCATTATATAGACAAATATTCTGCTTTTAGTTACACTAAAGAATTTCTCTTTTACATAAATCTATATAAATTCCTGCTTGAAAAGTTCTATATATATCCTGTAGCAGAGATTCCCCGCCTATTACTTGCACAAGATATACCAGAAGTGTTCCATTACAGGGCTGAAAGTAAAGTGTATTATTATACTGTTTGAAGACCAAGGTAATATATCCTATACTAACTGGTGGTTAATGTATCAAGCAAAACTGGCTATGTCTGCAAAATCATCACTGATTCCTGTGTCCCTCAAGACTGACTTTAAATACTGCATCCTAATATATTCAAAATATAAATGTAGGAATAAAGAGAACATAATACATAAGCATATTATGAAATAATAATTACAATGTACATACAAGCTAAGTAATTCATGTCTAAAAGATATACAAAAAAGCAAATTCCTGAAAGGTGTCTGACATTACATTCCTGCCAATTTGAGTATCAAGTAAAATCTATAAACAAGTTGGAAATATTTACCAGTTTCATCCACGTCTGGCATTGTGGCGAAATAGAATGGGACAATATCACTTTTGCCATATCTATTGCTGGACCAAAGCTCAATCGCATATGTGGTGTTGGGTATCAATCTGTAGATAGTAGTTTGACCCTGCAACCAAATATATTACA